AGGCAAGTGGTGGTGAAGAAACTCGGGATGTACAAGGCCTGCCCATGGCCCATGCACCTGGGAGTAGCCAAGATCACAACCGAGTGGATGCGTAGGAAACCAAGCAAGACGACACGCGAACGAACACATGGCGAGTGTTATCTCGAGTTAATTATATCCCATATCAAAAAACGGGACAATGAGCCTCTTCTCGACTTCGGTTTTCGGCTGAGATCTTGAAGCGAATCCACATGGATCACTCGAATTTGCCAATAATCCTCGCCGGTGGCCCTCATGGCAGTACCAACTCCGGTACCGTTGCGTTCTCTCGGGTGATATACAGTCTGGGCATACCGTTGAGATCGAGAAGGGAGTATAAAACTATCTCCCAAGATACCTCGCATTCTTCGGAGCTCTTTTCTACTCTCGTCCCTCTCCGTCACGTATTCCCAACCCCCCTGGGTATATCCCCACCTGTGACACTGCCATGGAGAAATCATCCCTCGCCAGCGTCGACAAGGGATCCGACCTCAATGAAAAGGGTGTCTTGGACGATGTCGTATGGTCAATCCATTTTTGCTTATGTCTTATCCTGACATTTTCCACTCGACATACTTTTAGGATGCGTTAGCCCTTGACATCCAAGCTCTTGGCCCGGACATCATTGAAGCCGCGGAGTATGCCAAGACTATGTCTGCCGAGGATGTCGATGAGGTGATCGATTACATCCTTACGGAGGTAAACCCCTTTTTCTCGTGTGACAACCGAACGACGACTAATACATCCTTTACCCTTTAACAGCATGACAAGGACCCTGTCGGTACCATTGCGTGTCTAGGAACCTGTCCCAGTACTGAACAGCTTTGCAGAACTTCCCTCCTCGTGTTCTCGAAGCTTGCAGGCGATACAAGTATGATGAGGAACTGAGAAGCGACCCCATCGAGTACCAAAATGTTTACCAGGAACTCAGGGTTGAGGCTGCCCTCATCATGATCGTAAGCGTCAAGTCGGTTCCCACAACGCTCGCCGAGATCTGATGTGAACCATTCCAGAACTCTCCCTACGCCGAGGTCCGCGCTGTCGTCGACAATCACGATGACCCTGAAATCTCCGCCAGCACATTCCGTGCCTGGGTTATCGGTACCCTCTTCGTAGGTGCTGGTGGATTTATCAACCAGTTCTTCAGCATTCGCTATCCTGGTATCAGCGTTGGCGCCAACGTCGCCCAGTTGCTGTAAGTTTCGTTCGCTCTGATTACCCGCAAATGACGACCGACGGATAAACGTATGTAGTGCTTTCCCGGCCGGTAAACTCCTGGAGAGAATCCTTCCGACTCGCAGATTCACCACCTTCGGACACACCTGGAGTTTTAACCCCGGAAAGTTCAACATGAAGGAGCATATGGTCATTACGATCATGGCTAACGTCGGTTTCGCTTCCCCCTATACCGCCTACGTAAGTCCTCCTGGCGATTATTATTCCAGACTGTGTTGACGCTGGATGCGTCAGATCGTCTTTGTCCAATACCTCCCCATCTACTTTAACCAACCATGGGCTAGCAACTTCGGTTACCAGCGTGAGTCCGACATTGCCATTGGCCAAGGGTTCCATATCTCACCCGGGAATCTCAGTCCTCGTCGCACTTTCTACCAACTTTATTGGATATGGTCTCGCTGGTCTTACCAGGCGATTCCTTGTATACCCATCTCGCGCCGTTTGGCCATCTAACCTGGCCACTATCGCGCTGAACGTAAGTGACGATGTCCATCGGTGTCCTTGATACGTTTTAACCCGTAATCGTCGCAGCGTGCCTTTCACACTGAGACCAACCAAGCTGCTAACGGCTGGACCATCTCGAGGATGAGATGGTTCGTGTACTGTTTTGGTGCTATGTTCGTTTACTTCTGGTTCCCCAACTACATCATCCAGGCCATGTCCTACTTCAACTGGATGACCTGGATCGCCCCGGACAATGTCATCTTGGCTGCGGTTACTGGCGGTGTCGGTGGTCTTGGCCTCAACCCCATCTCTACCTGGGATTGGAACCAGCTTACCGTTGCTGGAGACCCCCTCATCAATCCCTTCTATAGTATCTTTAACGGTTTCCTCGGCACGCTCATCACCGCCCCGATTGTCTTCGCGATCTGGTACACTAACACCTGGAACACCGCTTATATCGCTATCAACGATAACCACGTTTGGGATAACACCGGACACCGTTACAAGGTGTTGAAGGTCGTCAACAAGGACACCATGTTCGATGAGGCGGGTTACAAGGCTTACTCTCCGGCCTATCTGTCCGCCGGCAACGCCTTCATCTACGGCATGTTCTTCGCCGTTTATACCGCTACCATCACCCACACTATCCTCTACCACCGCCGTGAGATCGTTGCTGGTTTCAAGAACTTGATCAGTCGCAAGTCTGCCTTTGCCGACAGCAAGGACGTCCACACTCGTCTCATGAGAAGCTACCGCGAGGTTCCTGAGTACGTATACTTTGCTGTCCTCGTTGCTTCAATCGCCCTTGGTGCTGCCGGTGTCGGTGCCTTCCCAACCCACACTAGTCCTGCTGTTGTCTTGTATGGTGGTATGTGTTATTCCCTTCCGGTTGATACTCTGCCGCTCACAGAGCCGCACAGTTTTCCTCGCTGCAATCTTCTGTATTCCCTGTGGTATCATCATGTCCATCACGAACGTCGAGATTACCTTGAACGTTATTGCCGAGCTTTTCGGTGGTCTCTGGTTTCCCGGTAACGCCACTGCTATGAACTACTTCAAGTCTTACGGTTACGTCACGACCTCGCACACTCTCCACTTTGCTCAAGATCTCAAGTTGGCCCACTACGTGCACATCGCACCGTGGGTCACCTTTACCTGTCAGATGTGGGCGACTCTTGTCTCCACTCTCGTCTGTACGGCCATCCTCAACTACCAGATGACGAAGATTCCCGACGTCTGCTTGCCCAAGCAGAAGGATCACTTCACCTGCCCCGGAAACAACACGTTCTTCACCGCTTCCGTTCTTTGGGGTACTCTCGGTCCCAGGAGGATGTTTGGTCCTGGTGCCATCTACAACGGTCTCTTGTGGTGTTTCCCCATCGGCGCTGTTTTGCCCATCCCCTTTTACTTCCTTCGCAAGAAGTACAAGGCCTTCGCCTACTTCCACGCTCCCATTTTCTTGGTTGGTGGACTTATCTGGGCTCCTTACAACATGACCAACGTTTGGCCCGCCGTCCCTGTCGCCTATGCCTTCAACTACTACATCAGGAGGCGTTTCCTGGGCTGGTGGTCCAAGTACAACTAGTGAGTTGCCTCTCCTGAACCCGATTCCAAATCTCATACTGATAAACCCTACCACTCAGCATCACCTCTTCTGCCTTCTCCTGCGCCATCGCCATCAGCGCCTTGGTCACCTTCTTCGCCCTGCAACAACAGGGCATTGAGATCAACTGGAACGGCAACAACCTCCCCTTCGCGGGTATTGATGGCTCTGGTCCAATCCTTAGGACATTGGCCAAGGGAGAGCACTTTGGTCCTGGTGTTGGCCAGTTTTAATTGCAGACTGTCGTAGCATATTCCCCTCCTCCGCGCTGTTTCACTGCGTTGGTTCTACTGATCATCTTATCTTTTGCTTTGTTTGTACGGGTAGAACGGAGTCAATGTTTGAATACACATAGCCATCCATATGGGGTTTTTTTTCGTGGTTTTTTCTCTCTGCAGAGCGAGTCTGAGTGTGATTTTGCCGTAGGAGATCTCAATATCGTACCCTTTCCGGCTTCACTTCCGGAAATTGCGGATCTCGTCCGGATACCAAAACACATCGGTAAGGTCGTATTATCTTCTTATCTGTTCCACAAATAACATACCTGCGGGTAACCGTCGCGGGGATGGTAGTCAAGGTCCAGCGGTTTTGTACGGGGGTGAAACCTTGGTTTCCCTTCGGTGTCGTGTCGGGTGATCACCACAATAAAGGACCCTTCGGGGTTCCGGTTCTTGGCCTCGAGGGGGGGGATCACGTTTGGTAACAATATGGGCGTGATTATGTTTTTTCTTCTTTTGATCATCCAGACGGGAGCCTGAAGGCTGGGAAACCAACGATCGGATGAGGATCCGATGAAGCGAACTGCCGAGCCGCCCCGTGACATATTGGAAGACCTGTCAAAGTAGTCTCGGATCACAGTGTTACCGTTAAAGAACCGCCTCACCGAGCTCACCGAGCAGGCAACAAGGAAATACGCAAAGTTGATCGAGGGAATGCTGGGAGAGCTGGCTAGGGCAAGATGGTGAGACACCGTACAGCAACCAACGTGGAAAGGACACTCAACCAGATCCTCCGAATCAAAGGATCGGAAACTCCAGACTATCCTTACTACAAGGATGGAATCCGAGAGTCTACCCACCACTCCCTCTCCACCTACCCACATTACGCAGGGGTAAGGCGGCTGCTCCGGGCGAAATTAGGGCAGGAGAATACTTGATTCCGTTCTACTCGACGGCCGGAATCACCCCCTTCGTTATAATATCGGTGACACAAATCGCCTCAAGGCGGCTTTCGGGGAGGTTCGCCTTGCAGGCAACTTGGTAATCGAGGAGGAAGAAATCAAGAAGTAGACATCTCGTCAGAGAGTACTGCCATCGCTTCACCATTCAAGGTGGCGCCTGATGGGATCGGTGATCCCGAGGACAAAGGGACGGGCATCAACGCTGTCAACGTTCACTGGGTAAGTCAATTCACCCCGCCCGTGTTACTGACAGAAGCTATTACTCATCGCTCTAGGATTTCCCCTACAACCATTCTACGGTTTGCTCGACCTACCTACGCCAAGTACAGCACACGCGATTGAAAATGAGGAGTGGGAGGGAGAGGAAAAGGAGTGCTGGGAAGGAGGGATTAATCGAAAACGTTAAACTCTGCGGAAAGGGATGGTCAGGTCTTCCACCAACTCCGATTAGGTGCCTTCGTACCAATTCGGGTGATGGAGGTTTCCATATCAACTACAAACCGGTAAGGCTTCCAACAAGGCGCTATGGCTGAGTGGTTAAAGCGACAGACTAGAATCTGATCCTTAAGGATTGGAAGTCAATCTGTTCCGGTCTCCGGGCGCAGGTTCGAATCCTGCTGGCGTCGTTTTTTTTTCCTGCTTGTTTTTGGAGCACTTAGGGTGTCTTTCTTCGAGGTGATATCGTCACGCGACCCTCCAGGTCAGGTCCCCGGTAAGAACGCACCGGTAAGCGGTACACGTAACAGTGTCTTTCACTTCGGTCCGGTGATGTGTAAAGGCCGCACAAGATAGACAAGAACAGACCTGCATTTGCTATCAAGAATAACTTATTTACTCGACTAAGCTTTGCAAAACAAACGTGAGGGTAAACCCTTGACCGGCCAAGATGATGTGAGAGAATCGACAGGTAAAAAAGCGCTAGGTCATACAAACGAAACCTGAAAGAACAAAGAGCGTAACAGCGAAAATACCTACGAAAAAAAAAGGGGGAAACAAGGACCAGTCGTTGGGTCAGATGCATGAGGACGCGAGAACTATGATATTGCAAATGAGGAGATTGCGGATTATGAGGGTAGATCATGCGTAGAGCAAAGTTAAGGGAGGAAGGACCGGTGAGGTCCTTTCGAAAACAAGAGAGCGAGACACCGAAAAAGCAAGACACAGTGAGGGAAACAATAAGTAAAAGCGGCAAGTTAGGACCCCAGCAAAACGGATATAGCACAACTGTCCGAGTGTTGAATCGGCAGTGAGAGCGAGGCTCGGAGCGGTCATGAGAAACCTCTGATTCCAAGAACCCTCCTGACGTCACCAGTGAACCTCAGCGAGTCCAGGACTGGGAGGAGTTCAAGGAGAGCTTCGTCGTGCGGATCGTGTGTCCATCCTTCGATCGGGATCCCGTTCGCTGCGCCACAAACACCTCAGCACCTCATCTGCACCCGGGGCACCGAAGATCTCGTACCTTCATTACGGTTATAGCTGATCGGCGAGTTATCGACCAGACAAATTTTAGCCAGATCAGCCTCTACTATAGTAAGGTCTTTGGTATATGAGCCGTTGGGTAACTGTGTGCAAGACTAACCGAAATGGGCGTCAGAGGCCATCTCTCATGGTCTGCTGCTGCGTAACTCACCTCGCGGAAGAAACGTTTACCTAAGATACCCCTTCCGGCGTCTAGCCAATCTATGACGGGATCCGCGTACTCCTGCATCGATGCGGTGAAAATCACTAGCGTGTACCAAGTTGAGACCTTCGCGGGACGATCAGCCGTGTGGACCTAACGAGTGTTCAACGAAGCGCACCTTCCGCAGGAAATAATCCACAAATGGACGCTTGTAGACGTGGTACGTTGTGCTCTTACCACCGAGTATGACTTCGACTGTATGAGAATTACCCAGGGAGCCTCTCCGAAACGCCTTAAGGCCGAAGAGGCTCGAGGGAGAATGCGAAAAGTTGGTAAATGGCCGGGAAGTCGAGTGAATTAGGGTTTCATCAAGATCGAGAACCAAGGTCTTCTGAGAATGAAACGGGGTGGGCCGAGGTGGCTGTTGTGAAATCGGGGGTGGCGTCGGTGTTAACCTCATCGGACTGGGGGGTTCCTTCGTCGGCACTCTGATTAGTTTATCGTTACCGGTACTCGTAGAAGGCGATAACAGCGACTCTGGATGCAGGTCATGAACTTCATACTGCTGCAAAGGACCGGGTTTATGTTTCCGCCGGATGGCGGTACCTTCCTCGCCACTGTCATCGCCCAAGTCGATGCCTCCTTCGGACCTGACAGCTTCCTGGGTAACCTGCTCAGCCCCCACCTCGATTTCAGGTTCCGGAACAGAATGGCGGCGCCGAATCGATAAAGATCTCCAGGCGTTCCGTACGAGCGTCCATAGGGCGAGCAAGACACGCACAAATGCGAGCTGGCTGATAAGGTCCGGGGACGATTTCGGGTGGATCTGCTGGGAGGTTGTTGGAGACATTGGGGATTGGGATGAGGGAACGAAAGGTCCGACGGGCGTCTGGTCCATTGGGGATTGGGGCGTCGGGATTGGAACGGTGGACGAGGTGGGGGCGTCGAGGAAACGAAATGTGGCAGATATCCTGCGTGACTGACGTACCGACGGACGAGGAGGGTGAAGAGAAGAAGGGAGAGAAGCTCTGCGGGGAGAGCTGTGGGAAGGTCCTGGCGAGGAGGCCGAACGGGGGCGGTTTGAAGAGGAGGAAGCGGCGGAGGAAGAAGATGCAGCGACGATTGCGTCAAACTGGCGAGACAGATAAGAGAGGGAGTTCATCGTGGTCGGGAGATTGATGTCAAGAGAGGGAGGAGAAACGTGCGAGAGGCGGAAGAGGAGGATGTGGCTGAAAGGTGTAACCAGTGAACGTGATTCGCTTCACCGCTGATCGAATCGATGACCAAGTCGCCAGTCCCCTTCAACGTGTCTTCTAACGGATTCAAATTCATTACAAGCGATAAGGAAACGTATACGAGAGAGAGAAATGAGCTGTGCAGCGACTACAAAAAAAGATAAGAAAAAAAAAGAAGGCCCGAACGACGACGTCACATCGCGAGTTCGGCTTGTAGCTGCTTCAGCATCGCATCCTCGTCCATCTCCGCCGTGTTCTTGACTGCAAAGATGATCAGCACACCCCATAGAGGGACACGACCATGAACCTACCCTCTATGGCCTTCGTAGGTCCTGGTGGCAGGTGTATTGGTGCAGGCTCCGCGCCCTTCAACATATCGTTCAGCTGGTCTTGCTCGAGGTCCTCCAGCTCTTTCTTCAACTCGTCCTAAAATCAACGAGTGAGCATTTCGAAAAGCGAGCAAAGAAATAACCCACCTCATCAAGATCAGCACCGATGGGCCCACTCGAAATCTGGTCCTGGATCTCAATCGCAAGCTGCGTCTGTTCTTGGATGTCCGCCATAGTCTTGTCAACCTTGTCAATTGTGCTAGACGTTCACGCTCGAGCGCACGCATCCCTGAAGGACTAGCAGATGAACGTACAGATTCCCATGAATGTGTTTCAGGGCATCGGCCGCTTTCTTCATCGCAGCCATTGTCTCCTGGTTCATCTTCGCAGACTCGAGCGTATTCACATTCATCTCCAGTTGAAATCTTGCTCCTTGCAGCTTCTCCAGCTCGTTCTCCAGCATCTTCTTCCGCTTCAGTGCTGCCAGGGAAGCTGCACACACAAACAACGCAATCACATAATGAGCCCCGATGCAAAGGTAGTCGTTTAGATCTCAAGAGGTCGGGATACACGTACCGGTCTTGTTCGTTACTGCGTTAGCCTTGGCCTTGACCAACTCCTCCTCGACCTTCTTCTGCGTATACTCCTCCTTCTTCTCAATCATCTGTAGTTGCTGACGCAAGCCAACAATCGCATCCCTCGACACCTGCTGCGTATCCTTCCGTCCCCAGAGCGAACCCATCCAACCAGCCATATCGTTTATCCGGCTATCGCTCCGTGAGGCTGCGTTTACCGCTGATTTGGTATATCGTACAGAGTATCGCGCAGAATGAAAGATCAGGTAAAGGGGTCAGAGCACTAGTTCCGCTTGTTTCGGAAGGGAGTGCAAGCGTAGACAACCAAAGAGAACAAACAGAGGTCGTTCGGAAGGATCGCAGCAGGCGGGGAGGTGTATGATGTGATGGGTCACACCTGTCACGCGCCGAATTTCACCAAAGCCTTCCACAACTTTCTTCAAGAATCTCAGGTCCATGTACAGGATTCGGGGTATATTGTGTACAGAAGGGGAATAGAGAAGCGTAGGCTAGGGAAGGTAAACGTCCGCAGGTATACCCAGCACTGTGTGGAACGCGAGCGTTGTGTTGGTCATCGGTCTTTCTTCTCATCATTATCTACATCCTCCTCACTGGTGGTAGATCAGTAAGTGCACGCTTTGGGAGAATATGAATACGAATTTAGACGTACTCTTCGTCATCGCTCCGAGCATCCTCAGCTCCTCGTCCGGTTATAACCCTATGAGCAACCCTCAAAATCGTCGAGAACCAGATCAGTTGGAGCACCTAATGCGGGAACAATCGTGAATTATCAAATATATCACAAGGAGGAAATCGAACGAACTTGTAAAAGGCTCATCAAGACAATGAAACCAATGTAGACGTTGTAGGTGAGGTAGTGGCCACCCACCGAATCCCATTTAAAGGGAAGGTAATGCGGTGCGTCCACATATGTTGATACGATCGCGAGTGTGAATAAGATATGCCTGGTGATGAACCAGCCGACCATAAAAAGGCCGAACACAATGTCGCAGCTCAGACTGCCCCCCATGTACTTGATCATCTTGGCCACCTATATTGTGGTACGTCAATAAGAGAGGGAAAGTAGAATCACGGTGAGCAAAGCGCATATACGCACTGAAAACGTACCGGAAGTAGAACATCGCACACATCCATGAGGACCATAATGAGACATCCGATCCTGGTAAAGTTCCAGGCGTAGGAGAGGAACATGAGAGTGATCGCGATGACGTGGTGTGCCACCATCTGAATGTGGTCTTTCCTCCTCGCCTCGGCTGTCAAAACGAATATACCGTGGATGTAGAATGCTGTCTCATTGAGGTAATAGAATTTGACGGGCCCGGGTAATGGATAATGGGGGTACCTGGACCAGATACCCTCTCCGGGAAACAACATTTTGGTTGGGAAGTTGTGGTGGACATACTGTAAAACCAAACTAAATCAATCGGCACGTCCCAGGCGAAAGAGAGATGAGAGACTTACAAATCCAAATCCACACTGGAAGGAATAACATAGGAGAGCCCATCCCTGCTCCGCGAACCTCAAGACGCTTCTATGCATCCTCCTCTTCTCCACAGCTGTGAAGGTAACCTCATGGACGTCTCCATTGGATTGATGGCCGCTCGCCACTCCATTCGAGACCAACTTGGCTTTTAGCGACGGCGACCACGGCCCCCCGTTCTTGCTGACCGCGAGCTTTTTGGCCCTCAAGTCCTTGGACAGCTTCCAGAGCGCAAATGGCTCAAACACGTATAGCCGGACCAGATCGCGGAGAATGGCCATGGCTGCGATCAGACCGACGATCGTGCAGATGTCGAGCCATCCTGTCCCAAAGTACTGTGAATTATGGAAAGAGTCGGTCTTGAG